GTCACCCTTATGGGACACTCTTGTCGGACACTCTTGTGGGACACACTGGTGAGACACTCTTGTGGGACACTCTTGTGGGACACTCTTGTGGGACACTCTTGTGGGACACTCTTGTGGGACACTCTTGTGGGACACTCTTGTGGGAGACTCTTGCGGGACACCCTTGCAGGAAACTCTTGTGGGATACTCTTGTAGGACACTCTTGTGGGACACTCTTGTAGGACACTCTTGTGGGACACTCCTGTAGGACACTCTTGTGGGACACTCTTGTGGGACACTCTTGTAGGGCACTCTTGCGGGACACTCTTAAGGGACACTCTTGTGGGACACTCTTGTGCGAAACTCTTGTGGGATACTCTTGTAGGACACTCTTGTGGGACACTCTTGTGGGACACTCTTGTGGGACACTCTTGTAGGGCACTCTTCGTACGAGACTTCCTCCAAAAGTCACGCGTCAAGTCTCCAAAACGAGCGTTTCGTCCGAGACTTCCTCCAAAAGTCACATGTCAAGTCTCCCAAACGAGCGTTTCGTACGAGACTTCCTCCAAAAGTCACGTGTCAAGTCTCCAAAACGAGCGTTTCGTACGAGACTTCCTCCAAAAGTCACATGTCAAAGTCTGCAAAACGAGCATTTCGTACGAGACTTCCTCCAAAAGTCAAACAGAAACACCCATCGGAGCACACACATCACGCAGCCCTGCCAAGCCCGTTCACACGCCAATCCCACTGTGACAGCGACATTCACTTCTACCACAACTCACGACCTCACAATTCCCTGCGCCTGCCACGAATCTTTCTCCATCCACATGTCTAACGCGCACAAAGTACTGCGCCTGCCACGAAATGTCACCTCCGTCACACCTCGCAACCTCACCATTGCCTGCGCCTGCCACGAGAATCGCACTTCCACGCCTCAAACCCCACACAAAGTACTGCGCCTGCCACGAAAAGTGACAATATCATCTCATGTCAGCTGCAACAGCTTCAACAAAATTTGCACCACACCACACGTTTGCAATGATTTCGACCCGTTCTGAGCACACTCCCATCCACCAAAATCGGCATTTCAGCTGAGACTTGTCACGAAAACAGAGCTTCGATGCCACACCCTGAAATGCAAATCCCAATGGCACGGCCACATCCAACACCCCAAAAACACGACTCTCCAAACACTAATCCCAATGGAACTGCGCAGCAATCTGCAGATCTCACAAAACGCTGCGCCTGCGCAGCGAAACGCATCACGTTTCTTGCGCCGCATCTCATTTTCATGCAAATCACAATGGAATAGCGGCGCAAACTGACACGTGACACATCCATGAAAAGTCACTTGCAAAAGCTTCCCCCAATGGCAGCGCCTTAGCGTCCTACTGCGAACGGTTGCGGACGGTTGCGAACGGTTGAGGACGGTTGCGAACATAGAAACAACGGATCGCGAACAAGACTCTACCCCCAGACCCCCAGAGTTAAACGAGAACCCTTCGCTACGCATTCGGGAAAAATAAGATGTGGCATAAGTTTTTCATAAGATTTCCATAAGGTTTTCATAAGGTTTTCCTAAAAGTAAATAAAGTCGCCGATTCTTATGGATTTGTTTATGGATTCGATATGGATTCGCTTTGGAATTGATATGGATTTGTTATGATTTTGTTATGGCTGTTTTTATGGTTGTGATACTTGGTTGGAGGACAGTTATGGTTTCGTTATGGTTGGGAGCTGGACGTGGTATGGCCCAGGGCTTGGAGTGGAAAAGGTCAGGGCGGCTTGCAAGGGCCCCCTCGTGTCCCCATCCTTGATTCCTTGCGTTGTCAATTTTGTTGCTTGACCCAGAAACTAAATCTTTCCATCAGACGTGAAATAGCTGATTGGGCTGCTGACCACAACCCAAGAAGCTCCCAAACCTCCTACCTAGCCATACGAACAATATATCGCAAGTGTATGTTTGGCAATTCAACCAAAAAAATCATAAATTTCTATAAATTTGATCATAACTGGTTTCATAAGTTTTTTTCAAAACAAATCCATAACAAAATCGTAAAAGTAAACTATTTAAAAACATTTTTTTTAGCGACTTCCTAACTCACAAAAATTTACATGTAAGATGTGCCCCCACCACCGCCGCCGCCACCACCACCACCCCCACCACCATTACCACTAACACGACTGCTCCAATTGCAATTGCTAGTGCCATTGCCACTACTAGCAGAACTACTACCACTCCTACTGCTACTGCTGGTGCTGCTACTACTACCACTACCACTACCAAATACCACCACCACCACCACCACCACCACCACTACTACTTCATGTTTTACCACACTACGCTACCCTCTGCACTCTACACTCTATACTACACTCTACTCTACTCTTCTCTACTCTACTCCTACTAAGACTACTCCTCCTCCTCCTGCTGCTGCTGCTGCTACCACCACTTCTACTTCCACTTCTATTTCTACTACTGCTACTGCTACTACTACTACTACTACTAACTACTGACTACTCACTATCAACTACCAACTACCAACTACTACCACTACTACCACTACTACCACTACTACCACAACTACCACAACTACCACTACTACCACTACTACCACTACGACCACTACCACTACCACCACCACCACCGCCACCACCACCACCACCACGACCACTACCACTACCACTACTACTACTACTACTACTACTACGATGATGATGATGATGATGATGATGATGATGATGATGATAATGCTGAGGTTGCTGCATCGTTGCTACTTTCCCCATGAGAAAAAAACCTGTCACTGTCACCCTGTTTGGATTTCCTCTGCTCCCCACCTTTCAGCGTCTCCTTGTATCAAAGAACCGTTGCCACAAGTGTCGCTCAGCCTCGTAGGTCTCCATCACTTGAGCCGCATGCGTCCGGCCGATGGCCTGCTCCAGACCTGAAGTCGATTCGCTCCGACCTCGTTTTGAAGCTGGTTGGAGCACTGAAAACCTTTCCAAGATGAGTACTTTGTGAGAAGGGGGTCCTGTAGAGTCCCAGGGCATCCAGGAGCTATGAAAGTCTCAACCCCAGTTTGGGAAAATGGTCCATTTTCAAGACTTTGGTGCATTAAATAGGAAACTTCCCCAAGCAATGGGTGCTGGTCCGTTGTAAACCATGCTTTAGTCTGTCCAAACATGTGGGCGCATACGAAGCTGGCACCGCTGGCTAAGTGGCGGATCAGCTCTTTGCGCTGCGGCAACGAGGAGATGAAGGTCGGGTACTTCGAGAAGCTGAATCCAGCAGACCTCACCGGGTGAGCAGACTTCATGGGTTTCAAGAAAGGCTTATCCACGGTATGTCCGACAACTTCTTTCCCACACTTGGTGAGGCAAACATACCTCGGAGAAGCTCTAACAAGAAGATACTAGGGGCTCCTGGCATCGCTACTAGGAGCAAGGACGCTAGTAGGGGCTCCTGGCCTTACTACTAGGAGCATCCTTGTTACTAGGAACAAGAAGGTTGATGAGAAAGGTTGGTGAAGAAGCCGCCCCATGAGACTTCCCATGAACACTTCCCGCCTAACCCCGTGACCAACATGGACCGTCTATATAGCAGGACATGTCTTCCAGGAGCCAGGGGCCCGTCTTCGCGGTTCATATTTGATTAGCTATTCCCTCATGTGCGACCGCCCCGCTCTGCTCGCCCCGCCGAACATTTCTGCACTGCCAAAGAGCTGGGCGGGCTCACATGACCTTGGTTTATAATGGTTTAGAACGTTTGCAAAAGTGTCCTGATTTGAATTGTGACACCTTGAATATCCTTGATAGATATCATGTTCCGCAAACTCTCCATGTATATTAGTGTTTTTTCTTCTCCTAATTAGGGGTCACCATATACAAATATAAAATGACAAACGCAATAATGATATACATATCATCTGAAAGTTGAACCAAGACTTGTCCATTTCAGAAGTGAGGTTCCATGTCTTAGCTAAACCACGGCCATTTTCGCTAGTTTTTGTGGCGGCATAACGTGTTAAGTTGTGTGTCTTGAGCAAAGATAACAGAAGGTCATCTTTTGGCCTAAATAAAGAAATGTCAATGAATGCACTGTGGACAGATTTCCGCCCCTTCTGACATAGAGGCCTTAGAACATCAACCAAGCAGAAATCCAAGTCTTAGAGTTTGGGGGGGAAGAACACCGTTTGAGACCAAAATCGCCGAGGTTTTTCTCTGCACCATTCCCTGACATGTCCAGAGAAAACTTGGCGAGTTACGACCGAACTGGGCGAGTTCGCCGAGTTTCTCTCATTATAAACCATTCCTGATGTGACTCGACAGATTGTTTCGGACTGGGCTTGTTATTCACCGTGTAACTGCACTTTTTCTCGTTTCACATGTGCACGCACCGTCTGCGCCAAAAGAAGCAGCGCAAAGCGCGCATTGTGAATTGCAACAGTAATGACACTTATACGGGCACTGGCCACGGCACTTTGCTTGCGTTGGGTCACGTCGTGGTCTTTACGTCTATCAAGAGCAAGTATGCGTGATAGAGTGTCCGTCTCTGCGCCTAGGAGCTTCTGAAGTTGTGTTTAACAAGTCTTTCAGAAACTTCTGAATGAATCAGAAAGTAATGTTGGATGAAAACGCAGATGTTGCTATACCTCCGCCAACCTGGTATGAATTTAGTTTCCAACAAAACAATATGTGTCATTTTCCTGGATTTCACATCGTACATCCGTGTTGTGCCCTGTTGCTTTGTTGCGCTGTGTTGATGCTGTCTTGTCCCCTGTTTGTGTTGTTTGGCATTGTTTGCCGCCTAACGTGCCGCTTTGTCAGCTGCTTCTTCAGATCCGTTTTCCTCACAACTTGTGGCACCATATTTAGAGTTTGTTTTTCGGAAACATTCATGCAGCAATCATTTAAAGCATACTACTGAAGACACAGCTGTGGACGGTTCCAAGTCGGATGCACACTGACTCAGGCTCGTTGGATGTTTGCGGGCCGGACGCGTTTTTTTTGGCCGTTTCTGGCACATCAATGATCGTTTGGGTGTTTATATATATATATATATACATATGAAACCCCACAATTTATCAACGATATTACAACCTTATTCAACAAGGTAATTACCCGTATTGACTTCTTTGACCTAATTTAGAGAACACTTTTGAATATTTATTTTAAGGCTTACTACCTGAATCCAAACACAGCCCACAAGTACCGAAACAAACCAAACACCCTGCTGCGTCCTCTATTGCACACTTCGTGGGATGTCCGGCCAAGCGTCGCGAGTGGGCCCTGGGCGAAGTCACCAGGCTCCGGCCAGTTGCGGCCATACTCCTCAGCAACGGAAGGCCGTTGTTGTTCAGAGACTGTTGGATCAATAATGTATGGACTGGATGACCGCATGAGGTACGACAAATGTGACAAATGACAGGGTTTGGTCCACAAAGTGACCTTCAGTCACCGACACGACTAAAGAACCATTAGGCTTCCATCCTAAATAGGATACTGCACTCTTTTTGAGCGGGTGTGCATCTTGCGCAGATTGCCTGCTTGGTGCAAACTCCCGCCAAGTTGACAACGACGACGGCAACTTGGAGCTTCCCCGACTCCAAATACAAGTCCACTGATGGGAACCATCCCTAGAGTTCCACGACTGACTTGCCGTGGTTCCTCAGTACGTAGGTGCCTGGACTTACTGGGCTTTCACCAAGAGTCAAACTCCAAATAGAGATCCACATCTTTGGGCATCCAAAAGCTCTCATTCATCCAGGTCCTCAGTGCGCGACTAATCGGTCGACCCCATAGGGGTCTTCCCCATGGAAGGACCCTGCCGATAGGGAAGCCCATGGGAGAACCAAATCCTATATAGCATAGGAGTCGGCCGTGGCCATATCGATCAATGGGTTCTAGCACATTCTTGTTCAGTATGTTCCAGTGAACCCGCCTCTATGCCAAGAGCTAGTGTACCTCAACAAAATCCTGGTTCAACAGGCCTTGCTTTGCCACCTGCTCTGTTGACTGCGCCGCCTCCGGAACCCTGACCCACCCCCAGGCGGCTCACAATTTCACTGTCCCAGGTCATGCGGCACCGAGGCACGCGACCTTGAAACCAGCCAAAGGCAAGGGGCCTCAGGAGGCTTCTCAAAGCTCTGGGTGGTCCAAGTGGAGCAAGCTTCACCCCTCACCAAGTGGAGCAGTGTGGATCAAGCATTGCCACCCCATGCCACGTCAGGCCTTTTTAGGCCTATGTGCTTTAGAAAAAATGCTTCATCATTAGGCGATAATAAATACCAAATTAATCACACACATGAATCATGAAACAATATCAACAGGTGAAACATGAAATGTATATATATATATATACACATTAAATGTACATACTTATGTACATATACGTTTGGCATCTTTTGGCGGTGCATGTTAGGCCCACTGCACATAGGCCAATGGCGTCAGGTAAATGTTCCTGAGTAATATTTGCATGTGTCGTGTATTGGTGCCATCTTCACATGTCCGGAAGACACGTGAAAATTGACACCATTGGGACTCAAGGGATTCATTTCAGGAAACATCTCCAGAAAACTATGGCTTGCGGCTTACACCCGGAAACCATGAACTACGGCATGTTGTGTGGCAGCTCTTATGAAAATGGTCCTCTACTTCAAAGCCCCAGTGTGCGAAAGCACCGCAGGAAGCTCTGACCAATGTGGCTTGGACTTCGCACATCTTGAGACGGCATCCGCGTCTGACCGTCCTGAAACCAAACCTCTTATATTTGGTCCCCCTTTTGGGCCAAATGGATCCAAATAGCATGGCACAAAGCCAAGGTTTACGGCACCTCAAAACCACTGTGCCCTCCTGTGGTCGTCTGTGTGCCCTCCTAGTCCCAATCATCCAACGCCCAGGCGCAAGCAAAGAACCGGCCTCCAGGGGCCTGGCGGCATTCGGTGCTTCTTCTCGCTGTGGGACATGGTTCTTTCGACGGATGTGGGTGGCCAAAAGACATGACAGAATGAAGAAACAGGGCGCTGCTGTCGGAAGCTGTCGCAAGGGCACTTCCCAGACATGGATGGCGCCATACCACCTCCTTTATTGGGGCATCCTGAGGAGCACCATAAGACCCACAACAGCTGGCCAGAACACGTACCAAAGCGTAAAGTTGTTCATATAGACACTCACGAGCCTTCCTGCTGAGAGTGGCCGCATCCAAACTCATGTTGAGTGGCTCGTCTCACCGACGCAGCATTTACTGTAGAATTGCCACTCTGATTTGGAGCACAGCTCGACTTGGAACAAAAAAACAAACGTAAGGAACACCCCATCTACTAAGTTCAAGTCTTTCCTCAAGTCGCTACGACCACCAAATCTTAATTGGGCGCTCGTACGAACCATGCTGCCATGTGCCAGCAAATGTGGCCTACGCCTGTTTCAAGGCGCTATGGATGCTATGGCTGTTAGGAACCACTCAAGGAACCGTTCAGATACACCGATGTCACTCATCCAACTGCTGCATCTTGGGACCTTGTGGCACCTTGGGACCTTCATCCTTCGACTCCGACGGGCCTAAGAAGGAAAAACATTGCCACGACTCTCATGGCCAGAGCGACCGGTTCTTTGGTTCCCGGAAGAAAATGGAGTGTCCCCCAAAACAGTGAAAACATCGCATCGGCCACCATGCAGGAGAACAAACAAAAACACTTCAATGTGCCAATGCGTTTGTGTGCCAAAAAATACCTTTACAAACACATCAATTGAGTTTTCGACTGGGACACAATTGAGGGCATTGGGGTTGGTTGATGCTTTTGGGCAGGTCCGACACCTGCAACATAGCGAGCAAGGCTGCAACAAGCGCTCAATCTGTTTTACCGAAGTCGCTTGAGGGTATGGCTGTGGACAGAGCATGGAAATGCAGAGATTCAAGATCAAACACAAAAAAATAATACAGCTGGGCATAAAAGTAACTCTAGCTGACAGCGTGTAGAGAAAACCCATGAAAACATCTGTATTCATGTGATACATCTATATGTATATGCAGCATGTATGTGTATATATGCATATAGGATCATATAGGCATATGGGTGAAAAACAATATAGGTTGTGAGTTGTGATAGGTTGTATGTATACACATCGCCTTTGAAATGGGGTGTTTCTTGTGAGATGTTGCAATGAGTCAGGGTTCCACGTAATTACAGTTACTAGTTCGTAATTACAATAGCAGCGACAAGACACGCCAGCGGCGTGACGCATTTTTGGACCAGTCAAAGGCTCAAGCAGAAGAAACTCCGTCAAGTTTGCAGGACAGGTAGCAAGGGGGCATACATTAGAAACACGTGATCTGAAACAATAAGACTTCATGATGCTCTTCTGTGGTTTGTGCAACAACTTCCAAGACTGTTATCCAATGCCACACTGCAGCTGCTTTGGGTCTGATCTTTGGTTCGAATCCCTGCGACAGCTTAAAAAGGTCATGCGGAAAGAGATGGCAATGATTTTTATACACATTCGCCATACACCCCTGTGCTGCTAGTGCTGCTCCTTTCGTTGTTTAAACACGGCAAGCTAGTCACATATCTAAGAGCTACCCCACTTCCGATAGAACACTTAAACGAACAAGACTTGCAACAAAGTGACAACATACCTTGCCTGTTGCTTTGTGCCAGTTCGCGATTGCTAGAGAAACGTGGAATATATATATACGGTATAAGCCCGAATACGTTTTCAACAACGTTACCGGACTAACACACATGCAGCAAACATCTGGAAACCCATCAATAGGGTCCGGGTAGTCTTTGTATGTTGCTTTTTTTAAAACTGCCGCCTTCTTAATAACCTACTACTAAACCAACAACATGGGCGATTTGAGGCATCTTTTTAAGATTAGGTTCTGAAAGCAACCCTAACTGTCCACCTCATTCCACCTCTGCCCGCCCTGGCTGTCCACCCACCCACTAGAAACACCACCAATCGTGCCCCTGACTAGCGCCACGCCCCATTTACACTTCCCGCCGAGGCCGCGCAAAACCGCATGGCACAGCGACATCACCTTTCGAAATGTTTATTAGTTAGCCGAAGAGTTTGCAAGTGAAGAATATCGAAGAATCAAATTATACGTCAATAAAGGGTTGTTGCAAACGGAACCTTCGATCATATATTATCTCTAATTTTTCATAGGCGTTAAAAATAAAGGATTATATATCAATGTTCCTAAGCGACTGTTCATTGTTGAAGCAATTCCCAGGTTTCCATCTTCTTTGCGGGTTCCCCCTATTTAAACAGTATAATACATGTTTTTTGGGGGGGGGGCGCTCGTGTGTTTTCATGTGGAAAGGATTGCTACATACATACCGTGCGCCTTTGGGCCCCAACTTTCCCCGCTACGCGGACCCCCATGAACAATTCAAATCTTCCACCACCAAGCCCGTACTTTTGAAATGGCAAGGCCTAAGCTCTAAATTGACGTTTCCTCTGATGGTTTTCGCATCACATCCCCCCAGTCATCTGATCTGCACCCAACTCCAACTCCGACTTTCTGCTTGTGAAGTGCCCAAACGCAAGACGTTGCTTCATGGAATGGATGGCATCAAAACATACAGCACAGGCACTAGCACAGGCCATTGTTTCTTCACATTTCTTCCAAGGACTCTCTGCCCTGGCTCAGTCTGAGCCCTGGTAAATCACCAATCGGCGGCAGAAAGATTTCAAAACTTGCCTCTGTCTACAAGCTCAGGTGTGGTTTGCTTCCAAGAGTTCAGAGCTCCCCAGTCGACGTTCAGTCTGTCTACGGGACTTTGGGAAGCGCAGGAGGTCTGGAAAATGTGCTTCCCATCTGCAGCTATGCCAGCTATGCCTTCTTTGGTTGACCCCAATGTGAACTCATCTATTTTATAATTGGTTTATAGGGAAGGGGTGTACAATGATGTCCACCACAGGTTTGATGTTCTGATACTGATATGTTCTGACTTGGAAGCAAAGCGATCACGGGTCAACGACGGATTTCTTCGACCTGGTTGGAAAAGAATGGAAAAAAGTGAACGTCAGGCCACAGTCGCAGGATCTGTCCCAACGTCGAGGTTGGAATACGACCGAAGTACTGGAACAAGCGATCCTGATGAAACGAGACAGGCACGGCTGGACAGGCACAGGGAACCTTCTATAGTGGTTGCCAAGTAGATAGAAAAGTCGATCCCCACTAAAAAAGGAAACCGTTTCTTCTATCTCTTTGAGGATCATTGTACTTAGTTGAATGTGAAGGATGTGAAGCCCAGTCCTGTAGATGTGAACCCAAAGAATCACGAAGGAAACCAATGAGAACCTTCGGACCCAAGCCCCAACATTGCCCAGGCAGCCAGGTTTGATCTTGAAAACAAGGCTGAAGACCTTTACAAGGCAGCGAGTTCAAACCCTGAGACTGTCGCTTGAATGCAATGCCCGGCTTGTTGTGAAGGTGTGGGCCACATGAGGGCACTTCTGCTGAATACACCTCGAAGATAAACATAATGCTCAAGTCTCCCTATGCAAGCACTTCACACACCTTCAAAGCCTGGCGGCTTTAAAAATATGGCCTGCAAACTGCAGAATTCGACGGGGGGCCGTTCGGAAGAACAATCCAGCTGTCAAGGCACACAGCTGGCAGAAAGACAAAAGATGAAAAGGTGCCGTGCCTCCCCCTGGATGGCAGGCATGTCATACCTCAGCTCTTCATTCAGGCACAGTTGGAGGTAGGCTGGGCCGGTCGCACAAAACACCTCGACTCATCTCAGCTCCGCCACTCGGCCCCGGAAGACGCGGCCCACCAGCCACGCCAAGACTGTCCAGCTCCGCCACGAAACATAAAGCATAGAGCAAAAGGATGACACGATGCGTTGAAGTAGGCACTTGGCCGTAGATAAAGGAATCCACATCACATGAGCCAGCTCTTGGAAGTGGTACCAAGTCTTAGATAGAGGCTTTTTAGGTGGTGAAGTCATACAATCAAAAATTCATGAACATAAGATAGAGCCACAATGCTCAAGCATTCTCAAACGTGAAGACTCCTCCTAGTTGGTGATGTGAATGACCATTCTGACCCGTGCAGGGCCCTCCTTTGTAGTCCCAGCCTTCAAGAATCCTCCGGCAGTAGCCGCAATGTGATCTTGTCCCACCCTTCAATTATGACCTTGTTCAGCCGTGAAGAGTCCTCGTAGTTCTGAAGTGATCCTGTCCCATCCTTTGAGTAACATGACCCGCCACGTCTTCCTGCTGGCCCGAGCTGCCTGAAGAGTTTTAAAAAGCTTCTTTACAGGGCTATCGCTGGGTGGTCAAAATCGGAGGAGAGCTGCTAGGTAGCCACTAAGGGCTTGACCTGCAAATCTTTACAACCTCTTTACAACATTCATGCTGTGCCGATTGCTCAATCTCTCGTTCGCACATCAAAACAACACGCCCGCGAAAATATCCCCGAAATGCTCCCGAGAAGAACAAGGATCGAAATAGGTGATTTTAGTTTAACCAGCTTCATTCTCCAGCGGTGATGGCCGATCCATCTTTGTAGTGCCGCGGCAAGACGCTGTCCGAACATGGTGCGTCATTCGTTCTCCCCGCTTTCTCGCTCGATCGGCCTGGGGGTTTTCCTCACAAAGCGAGATGATAACCATTACACCGTTACACAGCAAACAGAATCAAACATATATAGTATTATATAGCTCATTTACGTGTTGTGTCTTCCCTGTAGAACTGCAGACTCTTGTCTTACAAGCTGCGCACATGCAAGTCGAATGGATGGAATCTCTTACAAATGCTTGCCAAAACATATGCATCCAAATGTTCTTGCTGCCTCTTAGGGTGAAAGGGGTGCAGAACCTATGTCTTCCAACGGATCGAACCTGAGCGACTTTTCCAAGGAGTGAATTGAGTGAATTTGCGGAACAAAACGAGGTATGAGCACTCAGCATGGAA